TTAATACAAATGAGTCAGAATAAGGTAAACACAGAATCTCAAACTTTTTTATGCAGACAGAAATCTTCCACTTTTTCAGGCAGAATTCACCGCTATTAAAAGTATGTTAGTGACTTAGAAGATGGGACAATTGTTCTTTTTTTTTTTACAGGAATGAGGAAATAAGACACTTTTATTTGCTCACAAAAGAGGGGGAAAGAGGACTCTTAATAAAGATTGAGAAGTGATCCCATTCTGAAACCACACATTGTTAGCGTTATTTGTAACCTGGCCAAAAATTAATCTGCGTTTGTAACTTTCAGAAAATGATCAATTTCATTTGCTCATAAAAGATTGATCACAAAATATAATAATAGAGCTATAAGTGAAGGAAGTAGCAAAATAAGAAATAATAACCTAAGGCATTTATATTGCAACCATTACCATAGAATCTCAACATCTGATAATCTTTAATATATTTTCCTCATGACACCCCTGTGAGGTAGGGAAATAACTATGATCTTAGAGTTGCCAGGTGTCTAGTGTCTGGACGCTAAAAGACCGGGTGGCCACCGTAACTGGCCTGCACCACTGGGGGACGGGAAGAGCAGCAGCTACGGCTGGAGCCACATGGAGGAGCCGCTTTCTGCTCAGCTGCTGATGTCTAAAGTTGCAGATAGGTACTTAGTAGGATTTTCTAAAATCTCCTTGGGCATCTACCTATGTCTTAGGCCTGTAAGAAACTCCTCTGCATGCAGCATGTGGTCCACCAACTGAGAGTTGTGCATCACACAGGTATCCCAGTAGGAGCACAAACCACAGAATCTGACTACGTGAGGTTTCCCCACAGCCAAAACCAAAGCAGTCTGGAATTATGCTGCATGTACATTAACATTCCTTGCATGACCCTTTCAAAACACCGAAGTGACTTAGGGTATCTACACTGGTGCTGGAAGGTATCATTTCCATCTTCAGTAGACATACCTGCACTAGTTCTGATTGTGTTAGCATACTAAAAATAGAATGTACCCTTGGTGGCATGAGCAGTGGGACAGGTTAGCGGCACAAACACGTACCTAGTGTTTCAGATGGGCTCATACTCTATGGTGCTAGCCCATCCTGCCACTCATACTGCCATGGGTAGACTTCTAGTTTGAACACGGGTATAGCTCCTCCAGCTGGAAATGACCCCTTTCAGTTCCAGTGTAGACATACCCTTTGTCTTATTTTAAAAACTATCTTAAGCATTTAGGAGTCTGTGGGATAATGGGAGGTAGGCTCCTAGGCTCCTAAATCATTTACATGATTTTGAAAATTGTCTTCTTTCTTTCTTTATTGCACAATTCCATGATCAGTTAGGTGCACAGAATACGCCAGAGGTTATGTAGAATGATCACAGGTTATACAGTGTATACACTGAGTTTTACACTACATAATGTAAACAGGAAGTAATACTAGGATATTAACATGCTGTTGTTCAAGTCAAGTTGGTATTTGATGTAATAAATCAATTTGTGAACAAGTAGCAGTCAGACAAGCAGGTAAGCCAGTCTACATACACAAATTTGATGCGCCACCATTATATATTATAATTATTTAACATTTATGTTGCAGTAGCGCCACAAGCAGTTGGATCACCATTCTGCTATTTGCTGTACAAACACACATGAGCAGTCACGTAAGGTATTTGGTGTAGCTACTACAAGATGCGTTGTTGTGAGCCCCTCAGAGAGGTGTCTTTAAGGGCATTTTGGAATTCCCATTTCTCTTTTGAACAGTGTGTTCTCTGTTTCTGCACCATTTAGGTCTGTATAAAATCTGGTGATGAGTTCTTTAGGGTGATATTTTCAAAAGTACCTAATGGAGTCAGGCGCCTGACTCCTCTGGATTGAGAGCCTATCTTCCTTAGAAAGAACAGGAGTACTTGTGGCACCTTAGAGACTAACAAATTTATTAGAGCATAAGCTTTCGTGGACTACAGCCCACTTCTTTGGATGCATATAGAATGGAACATATATTGAGGAGATATACATGATATATGCTCTAATAAATTTGTTAGTCTCTAAGGTGCCACAAGTACTCCTGTTCTTCTTTTTGCAGATACAGACTAACACGGCTGCTACTCTGAAACCTATCTTCCTTAGGGTACTTTTGAAAACTCCACCCTTAGTTGTTCCTGTTTGTCTGCACCTTCTCAGTTCAGTTGCACATAGGTTGATGTGTATTTTTCGAGTCAGAGTTACAGTGCAGTTGAAGTTTCAGCTGGTGATACTTACAAAAACCTGACCTTTCTAGTCTGCATTGCTTGGTCAACTGTTCAAATGATTCAGGGCCTGTAATCTGCAAGACATGGTCTAGATGAATCAGTCTGTTCTGCAGCCATCTATTTGTTACATTTCAAAAAAAAAATTCAAATTCTTTTGTATAAACAAATATTAGATTCAGTGCTTGTGTATCTTATGTTGACACTGAACTGCAAAATAGTATTCGAGCAATCTAAATAAAAACTGTCTGCAAAGGCCCATAACCTGAGTGATTTTTCTCTGTAAATAAGGGTGAAACTATCTCTGCATTACACTTAAAATGGTGTTTATATGTTTCTGGGAAATGGTGCAATGATGATTATGTTGCTGAGATAAATACAAGAGAGAAAGGGCTGTGCATCTGAACTGACCATATGGGAGACAGAAGGCCAGGAAGTGCAAATGTTCAGATAGGCAATGATGGAGTACTGTAGTCACGTCACTAGAATAGGCTAAATATAATGGAGCCTTCATGTAATAGACTGGGGTTTTATGAAACTTCTGGAAAGGCTTTCATGTGAGGAGGGATTGAAAAGATTGTGACAGTTTAGTTTAGAGAGCAGACAAATCAGAGAGATGTGATAAATACCAAAAGAACGAATAAATAACAAATGGTGTTTAGATAGTAATTGGGTGCTGCTGTTTACCCATTCACAAGTGAAACTGAAAGACAACACATTTAAAATGATTTGAAGGGACTAGGTCATTTATTTATTGGACACAGCACACGATTAACCTGTGGCACTCATTGCCACAAGATTTTATTGCGGCCAAGAGCTTAGTAGGATTTGTAAAAGGATTAGATGGTTATGTGAGTGACAGGAACAACTGCAGTTATAATACTGCTAACTTTGTTATGTCACATTTACTGTAGAATTGAGACTGTTTATTTAAAGTGCTAAAGATCAATGTTTGAAAGGGGTTTTAAAGGCCCTTTAAACAGTTCTAGTATAAACTCCCCATAAATAACTAATCAGATCCCGCTCTTGCATGGAAATAAATCATGAAAGCAGTTGGGAATCATGGAGATCCCAGAGCAGAAAGGTTTCAAAATAATTGTAGTTAATGCTAACCCACAGCAGTTTCAGAGTTTCAGCAGCAGATGGTGCTATCCTCTGCAAGTCCACAGAACCCACAAGCGCTAGACCAAAAATACTCTCTGAGTGCTAAGGTCTCTTAGGTTTTCCAAGTGCTCATTTAAAGATCTCAGCTTAAATGTTACAGTACTGTACAAGGAGCACCTTGCAGGTTGCAAAGAATTTTTTCCATGCAGGGGAAGATTTGCTGAAATTCTGCAGACAGCCAGTAATGTTGAGCTACGGTACTAATCAGAGGTAGCAGAGGATTGCCAAATGTGAATAATGGCATCCTTAAAATGGCTTTGATGAAAGGTATCCAGTTTTAATATCCTACTGAAGAATAGAGACGCTTTAATGATTCAAAAGGAAAATGTCACATCCTTAGGCAGCAGTGCTGAAACATATTCATGACACATGGGCGGACAGTGAATGTTTATTCCTGGGCTGGTGTAACAGGAAATTACGCAGATCCTTCTTAGTGGTAATGGGGTTTATGGGCCCGGTCCTGCTCCCACTGCAGGTAATGGGAGGTTTGCCATTCACTGCAATAATGGAGCGCCAGAAAGTGTGCTTAATTGGTTAATATATATATAACCTCAGATCAGTTCAAATAAACTGAAGAAGGAGAGTATAAACATTTTGCAATATCTGATCATCAGTTCCTGTCTTTTTTTATATTAAACTTGGATTCTCTACTTAGACTACACCATATACAGACTTTAGTAGAGAATCTGTTAAGAATTATAAAACAAGTGAAAGTGATTTTCTCTTATGTAAATAGCAGCATTTTAATTTCTTGTGTGTTTGTTGAATAACATTTGAAAATAAATCAAAAGAGTTTAGAAAATCAACATTATGCTTCCAGCATTCTTGTGTTAGATTTTCAATGTTTCTTCCATTATATTATTAGTATATTTAACTGAACACTGGTTTAACTAACATTAGACCATCAAAGATTTCCTAAAACAATGGTTGATTATAGGCAATACAGCTGGCTAAGTTGTGTTCCATAACACGCACATACAGGAGTTTAAGCGGAATGAATCTTTGTGGAATAGAATTATATGAGTTTCAGTATTATCAAGCTCCCCATTCTTATTGTGGGACAGAAGATATGGATACAAATGTATTACTCTGTTGCGATATGGGGATCACCTGACCAAAATTAATTAATTACATATGGCTGGATGGCTTTTTATTAGCCTCATTAGGCATGGCTGCTCTTACGTTTTTAAAATAGTGACAGAGCTAGCTAAGGTAGTCTATATGAAGTTCACACACCAGGGTCCAGATCTTGCAAAAGACTTATGTGTGTGTGTATATCTTTTCTCATGAGACTAATTCAATAGGATCAGGTCCAATGTCCAGAAGAGTCACCAGGAGATCTTACTTTTATTTCAACAGGCGTTAGACTGGGCCTATCTAAAACAAAGGTACACAGGATTATATCTGTCCCCTCAAATCCAACCTATCTTCCGGACTATCTTCTATAAACATTGACTAACTGCAAGTGCAGTAGCAGTAAAATATTGACAAGTGTTGGTTCCTGAGAGTGTGCAATATTGTTCTGTTGCCGGCAGCTGAAGACAGCAATCAAAGGAGCTATTTTTAACCATGGGGTTGATATTTTCTTATACAGCTATTGCACCTGGAGTCAACTGATAGATGTTTGATTACTTCTGGATGATTCCCTCCTTCACATTCAGCTTCCAAACTGGCCGCAATCTCGATTTGAAGGGGGAGGAGATCAACATTGGAGATGTGTGGCTTCTGGGGACTTCTTTCTCCTTCGCTACCATGAGTAGACTTAGGAAAGGCCTTTGCATTCCTCCCCACCCAGGAGCAGCCTGAGGAGGAAGAAGTGGAGTGCCAAGGTGTGTACCTGAGCTGCTGTTTTCCTGCATCAGGTTTCTTTGGTGTATCTGGGTGGCTATTTCTGGTGGTGGAGTGTGGGGGCAGAAGGAGGGGGGTTTATCCATTTAGGTTGGCTGGCTGGAATCATATAGGGATGGTTCACCCGCCCTAAGCTCAAGGTTTTGCAGATCTCAGCCTATTTTTGGGGTTCCTAAGGGTCACGGTTTTCAAAAGTGACCAGTGATTTTTGGGCACCTCATGTTTTGGGTGCCCCTTTTTGACACCTCTGAGGGGCCTGATTTTCAGGATCTACCAAGCCACTTGCCCTCTGAAAATTAGGTCCCTTTAAGGTATCTCGAGTTGGGCACCCAAAACATGAGGACAACCCCTCCCAGGCAATTTACATCTATATTTGTTCTTGTGAGTTGATTGGAATAACAACGAGCACCCCTGTTTCTCTAGCTAAAGGTCAGCCTGTGCTGTGTATTGGGAACAGAAGAACCTCACCAAAAGCTAGCCTGGCACAGTTAGGTGCCCAATTTATGGTGTGTATATATCCGGAGTTCTGTTCTCACTTATGCCTAGTGTAACTGGTCTGAAGCGTTTCACAGGGCGCAGAATCAGGACTAGTCTTTCTCTCTCTGCTCCTTTTAGACTTTTTGTAGCAGAACCCAATACATTTCACGTTAAAGCTGAACGTTTGAACCCACAGCGTGTGATGTAATGGAGGATGAGTCTTTTTCAGCTGTGAAGGTGAAGATGCGTTTCCCAGCAGTGTATATCAGGGTGTCACTGATGTGGGGGGTGGGAGGGGGCAGAAAGAGGATTAAATTCTGCTGTCCCACTGCAAGGCAAAGCTGCTGGTTTTAGTACTTCAACATACGTACCTGTAAAATCCAGCCCTGAAGAATCTGACTGAAGGGACCTAAAGAAACAAAATATAGGAACATGGGGGGGAAACCCAAGCAGGCCATGTACTTTTAGCCCTAGATGTTATAGGGATATGAAAACAGCTTAGGAGACAATCAGAAATAACCCGAATCTTCACCACAAACCCAAACCAGAAACGATCAGCACCCTCAGAAAACGTTCTGTTCCTATAAAAATGTATTTTCCATTTCCACTTGCCTCTGGAATTCCCATTTCCACCTGGAAGCTGAAATGCAAACGCTCTGTGGGGAATGCCTCTGGAGCGTGTTCCTCAGCTATGTGAACTGTTTGGCCTACAGTTTCCTTTCCGCCCCCAAATGGACAATGCACTGAGGCCCAGCTCCTCAAAGGTCTTTAGGTGCTTCACTCCTGTAGGAGGCACCTGAATACCTTTTAAATGACATAGGTGGTTTCACTGAACTGTGCTTTTGGTAAAGTTTTGAGGGTTACCACACAGTTCCTTGTTTTGTCCTTGAGCAGGGCTCTGCTGTTACGATACAGGAAACTTTACAGCTTTGTAAAATGCAAACCTATAAATATAAAGAGCACAATAAAAGCTGTTAAAACACATCATTCACAAATGGGAAAACCTATCTGTTTTTGTTTTTGTTTTTTGGTAACCCATGCTGCATGCATCAGTATGCTGAAAGTGCTGCAGAATATTTACCTGGCTTCAAGTGCACCTAGCAACTTTCGTACCAATGGAACAACTTCCTTTCAGAATTGCCTGTCTCTTTAAAGCAGTTATGTACTAAGCAATAGACACATTCATATTACAGATCACCATTTAAGGAAACACAGTCTGTCTGACACATAGTATTTTGCACCTTTCGAATTGTCTCCTGCCAAATATTCAGGCCCAGAGGGGAGACCCTGCTGGGAACACAGGACAGATGGGGCTGAATAGAGTCAGCAATTCCCTGGGGCCAGTAGTGTGATGTTAATGATCACACCCTGGTAAGATGTAAAACATACCTTTGTGCAGCTCAGGGTACCCAGCAAGTGTTGTGATGTAAATGAGAGCCCAGCAAGATATGAAGTGTGAATGGAAACACAGCGAGGTGCCCTGCGAGCAGGGGGCATGGTGCAAAGGGAAATACGGCAGCGCAAGGGGAAGTGGAATTGAGATGTGGACTGGTGACAATAAACTTAAACAAGGCTCATCCCAGTATGAAGGGGAATCAACTGTGGGATGGCATAAAGTCCTATTTGATGGGCTGAAATGGGAACACAGAATTTAAGCTCTCGCATGGGATGCTGTTTGGATTCCTGATTTCAAGCACAGGCTGTTTAGGACTGGGAAAGATGAGTGGGGGTGCACAGAAAAGATACCAACCTTAGTAAGACAAGTAACTCTTCTCTTTGAAAGTCATAAATAAATTGGGGCCACACTCAGCTTGTGGAAGCTGATGGAAACATCCCTCCCCCCTTCAAATGTCTTCCTGCCAACCAGACGAGGGTTTATTCAGAAGGTATATGACAAGTGTCAGTAACTATTGAAATGCCTTGGCTGAGGCTAAGTGAAGTGGAAGATCATTGGAAGACCAGACTGACGCCAGCCCTGGGAAGAGGTACCAGTTGCCG